TCTCCTCCATTCTCCTCTCAGGATCTTGGGCATGCACACACACGTGCCTGGAGTGTTTTAAGTTACCAGGTCCGAGACTCTAACTGCGGTCAACCACATGGGAGTACAGCGACATAGCCATTACGCCAACTGCTGGTCCCGGACATTAAACATCTTGACAGATGTCAAAATGTCCTTCAAAAAGATGAGACTCACTTATACCCACATCAACACTGAGAATACTTAATTCTCCATAATGAAGATTATCTGTCTCTAAAATTATATGACAAAATATAGGTATTTTCATTTCTTTCTTTGCTTTTCTTAAGGTTTTTGCCATATGGCACATGCACTGGCTGGAGGTAGATCAGAATTTACCCTGTAGGGTGATGTCCAGGCCACAGTGCCTTCTCCTCCATTCTCTTCTCAGGATTTTGGGCATGCACACACACACATCTACGCATGCTTTTCAACATGCTGGGTACAGGACCTGAACTGTGCAGTTGGTGTGTGGGATTCTGCCCCCTCAACTACCATGCCACTGCTGGCTCACAGGTCATAAGTTCTATGATAGACACACTCACGGGTCCCAGAATACCTGACCAGGCCTAGACTCCAGTGTGTGTAAACTAGGAGAAAGGGTTACAGAATGCAGTTTGGAATGATTCTCTAGGAGATGAAGAATAAGGTAAATCACATAGAAAATACCAAGACAAAACAGGGAGAAATTAAAAACAAACACAAATCTTTATTTCTTTCTTCCACAAGAGGCAGAGATGGAAGGGCACTGCCAACAGATCTTCACACCATGATCCACTCCCAGCTCCAGTGCTCAGGGAGGTCCTGGGAATGTAAACCCAGGACCTTTCCCATATGGGCCTAGCTGTATTACCACCGGGCAACCACCAGTCCCTCAAGAAATCCCAGTTTGATTAGCCTTGTGGAGCCACAAAATATAAAACTGTGACGAGTAACAGGCCAAGCTCCTGAAGAGGAGACTGGGCTTAACTCATGAAGTAATGAGGAGTCGACAAAAGCGTGTTGGGCAGAGGAATAAAGTGGTCAGACTTGTGTGCAGATCAATGACCCAGGTAGCAGGGAGAAGAGAAGACAAGCGTCTGAAATAAAGTGAGTTAAACCAACAACCACGTAGGAGATAAAAACCACTCTGGATATTACTGGGCACTGGGGCTGGCAGATGGCGTGGTAGTTAAGGGCACTGGACTCCCACATGGTCAATCACGGTTCAAGTCCTGGACCTGGCAGCTTGCTTTCTCACTTTCCCTTTCTCTCTCTCTCTCATTCTACTCTTTTCTGGTCAAATTAAAATAAATAAAGATAGATAAAATAATTCTTTCTTTAAAAAATACTTATTTAACTTTATTTATTTATTTTAATTTGACAAGAGAGAAAGAGAGAAAGTCCCAGGCCTGGGACTCGAACCGCAGTCAGCCATGTGGGAGTCCAGCGCCCCAACTACCATCATGCCACAACGTCCAAATAAAATAATTATTTTAAAAAATATATATTATTGAGCACCTCTGATGTGCCAGGCAGTCAGGTGCTAACACAAGAGAAAATTTCTTCCATATCAAGGAAATGTGTGCCATGAATACATAAATCAGAACTAAAGCCGCCACACATACTAGAGGCTGTGTTCACTGAAACCTTAAGGATTGCCTTACTTCTAGGATTTGGTGAATAAATCCCTGTGTTACCCTACCGTCTAATTCACTCCCTCCCTCTGTCTTTATCTCTTTCTTTTTTGTAACTGCCAAAGCGTGTGCGTGCTTGACAGAGAGAGAGGGAGGAAGCAGCCCTGGCAGGAGGTGGCCATGCTGCAACCCCTTCTCCACTGCTCCCTCCTGTCAGGATTTGGGGCATGCGCACAAGTGTGCCTAGCATGGTTTTCAAGCCCCTAGAGCTGGAACTTGAACCATGCCTGTGGGGCCAGCTCACCTCTATCTTTCTCACTTATTTTTTTCTTTCAGGCTTCCATGCCATAATCCCTTCTCCTTCACTCTCCTGGACAGGCACAAACATGCACCAGCACAATTTTCAAGCTGCCAGGTCCAGCCACATGGGAATCTAGTGCTTTAAACACCATGCCACCTGTTGGCCCCCTTCCTACCACTTTAATTTTTTAAAAAAGGAATTATTTAATTTTATTTAGTATTATTATTTTATTATTATTATTTTTTTAAAGTTTGCTCTCTCTCTCTCATCAGCGAGAGACAGAGACAGAGAGGGAACATGAGAAAGCAAGCCACTGGGTCCAGGACTCAAACCACAATTGCCATGTGGAAATCCAGCACCTTAATTATCACACAACCTGCTGGCCCCAGTATTATTATTTTTAAATTAGACAAGAGAGACCTGGAGGTGGGGAGAGCAAGCCACCAGTCCAGGACTTGAACCGCGTGGGAGTCCGACGCCTTAACCACCACGCCACCTGCCAGTCTCCACTATACCACATTTTAATCATTTTAGTTGTTGTTTATTTGGTTATTTAGTTCCCCCTCCCTTTTTCATTTAACCAATCTGTTTCTTTTAAAAAAATAATAATTATTTCTAGAATTTTATTTATTCATTCATTTATTTTAATTTCACCAGAGAGAGATATATAGAGAGAGAGGGAGGGGTGGGTGGGAAAGCAAGCCACCAGGTCTGGGACTTGAACAGTGCCATGTGGAAGTGTCCAGCGCCTTTACCACCACTCTGGTCCCCTCCGAAGTGTTTGTTTGTTTCAAAGAATTATTTTATGTAACTTTATTTATTCATGATTATTCATTTTAATTTGACCAGGGAGGGCAGAGCGAGAGACAGAGAGAGAGGGGGAAATTGAGAAAGCAAGCCACCAGGTCTAGAACGGTCGGTCATGTGGTGGCCTAGTGCCCTTAACCACACCACCTGCTAGCCCCTCCAATCTAAGTTTCTAATATCAAGATTCCCTTACAAAAAAGCAGGTCAGAACAATGTATTCCAGTCACAGTAGCACTCCTCAGAATAAGACAGACCAGGGCAGGGTGGGAGAGAGTGTGGTGTGAGAAAGCACCCCTGGGGGGAATGGCCACGCCACAAACTCTTTTCCTCCATTCTCCCCTCAGGATTTCCAGCATGCACACACATATGCTCAGTGTGTTTTTCAAGCCGCCAGATCCAGGACTCAAACATACACACAGCTGTGTGGCTCTGGCTGCCTTTACCACCATGCCGTGGCTGGCCCCAGATCCAATTATTTTATTTCCCCCTCTTTTCCTCCACCTACTCTGACAGTAGTCCTAGAATACAGACAGTAAGAAAGTATGCCTTAAAGCAGGCATGACTGGGAACCTGGTTTTGATTTTTCCGCCCAAAGAATTATTTCATTTAACTTTATTTATGCATTTATTCATTTACATTTGACCAAAGAGGAACAGGGTAAAAGAGAGCGAGGGAATGTGAGAAAGTAAGCTGCCAGGTCTGGGATCCAAACTGTGGTCGGCAATGTGAGAGTCCAGAGCCCCCAACCACTGCGCCACCTGCCAGCTCCCAGAACCTGTTTTTTTTCTGGAGAGTTTTTTGCTACAGGGTATGTGTGCTTGCCAGAAAGGGAAAGACAGAGAGATAAAAAGTAAGAAATCACCCTCCAGGAAGATGGCCACAATGCAATCCCTTCTCCCCCATTCTCCTCTCAGGATCTTGGGCACGCACGCACACGTGCCCAGTCTGAGTTTAAGCCACCGGGTCTGGGACTCAAACTGCAGTCGACTACATGGGAGTCCAGAGACATAGCCATTACACTGACAGCTGGTCCCATACAATAGAACCTGTTTTTATAAATTATTGTGTGACCTTTAGCTAATTCCTTTTCCTCTCTGCACTCAGCTTCATTTGTTAAAAGAGGATAATTACAGTACCTACTCATAGGGTTGTTGTAAAGATCATGGGAGTTAAAATGAGCCACGTGCTTAAAAGGGGTAGCTGTAACAGGAAATGCTCAGTAAACACCAGTTATTGTCACCCCTTGTAGTTTGATATCAGTCAGTGCCCAGTGGCCTCAGAACACAGCCCACAGTGGACGTGGCCAGTCTCCCTAAACTGTGGCCTCACCTTGGCACCAGCCAACTCCTTCATCATGAAGAGGGAATCGTCAGCCCGCTCGTCGTCGTCCTCGTCGTAATTCGGGGAAGGAGCACCCTCTGCTCCCTGCCGCAGCAGGCCGCCACTCCCTCGAGGGTCAAACGGGTCCACCACGATGGGCTCGGTGCCTTTAATCTCACATCGGCAGAACGGGCAGCCCTGGCCCTCTGACTCCTGTGGAGGATGCAGAGGTGGAACGACTGAAAATGTGCACACACGAGAATGACTCACAGTCAGCGCTAACGGAGAAATGAGAAGTTTTGCTCTGCCCCACAGCCAGGTCACCTTTTGTATCTGTAAAGGATATATAGTACCCCATTTTTCACAGTGATTCTACAGCTCAGAAAGTGTAGTCTGGGTGCGTACCTGCCAGGACGTGAGACAGGAGGTGCACATGAGGTGTCCGCAGGGCTCGATCTTCACGTCCTTGTCATTCTCTGCACATATCTTACACAGCTGGAATGTGGAGCCCATCTCACAGTACAACTCATATTGTTCCTTGGAATAAAAAGGAAGAGACTACGTTGAATAAATTATTGCAGTTATAAACACCGATGAAAAGAAAAAGGAAGTCTATTACTTTCGATACAGAGTTTACTTGTATAAAAATGTCACAATAGGGCGCTGGCAGGTGGTGTGCTTGGTGGTTAAGGGCGCTGGACTCTCCTCACATGGCCAACCACGGTTCAAGTCCTGGACTTAATAGCTTCTTCTCTCACTTTCCTTCTCTTTTTCTCTCACTCTGTTCCTCTTTGGTCAAAAAAATTATAAAACACAATAATTAAAAATAATGATTTTTTAAAAAGTCATGATAGCAGTCAATGTTCTCCCATTAAACCAGAAAGTATACGGTCCCATCCTATTCTAAGCTGCATGGTTTAAAGAAATACATATTCAAAACCCAGTCAGCAGTTAAAAGCTAGAGTGTTCCGAACACTTAATTGGGTGACACCGTCAGTTCCGGAGCATATACAGAAGCGTGGCTCTAGTGCACAGCAACAATAAAGCAAGGCTCACCTGGGTGACCTTGATGTGGTCTTGGGGAGTTGGTTCACATAAGCCTGTCAGGTCAGGATTCTGGTTTCGTCCATCAGGAAACAAATAGCTATAAGAAGAGTAACCAACCTTGGAGATTTATTGAAGCCAATTTATCAGTGCTTGCTAATACAGACAAAGAAAATCTAGGAATTTCTCTAGTTTAAAAGGACAACTTTGAGGAGCTGGCAGGTGGCTTGGTGATTAGGGGTGCTGGACTTCCACATAGGCAATTGCAGTTCTACTCCCGGACCTGATGGCGTGCTTTCTCATTCTTTCTCTCTCTCTGTCCCTCTCTGGTGAAATTTAAAATAAATAAATAAAATTAAATAAAATAACTCTAGGGACCAGCGGTTGGTGTAATGGCTATTGTCGCTGGACTCCCATGTGGTTGACTGCGGTTTGAATCCTGGACCCAGTGGCTTAAACTCATGCCAGGCGCGTGTGCATGCGTGCCCAAGATCCCGAGAAGAAAATGGAGGAGAAGGGATTGCGGTGTGGCCAATTCCCCTGGGGGGTGATTTCTCACTTTCTGTCTCTCTATCTCTCTCTGTCTTTCTGGAGAACGCACACGCCCTATAGCAAAAACCTCTCCAATAATAATGATGATAATAATAACAATAATAATTCTAAAAAAAAAAAAAAGGACAACTTTGGGTAAGTATAAAGATACATATTAATAATACTTGAAAAAAAATAGAACAGTCCCAAGATCTCCAAACACTGATATTCCTTTTCCAAGCATGAAGCCACAGGCTTGTGTATTAAACAAGGGGATGAGAAACTTCTTTTTTAATGGGCCAGATAACAATTTAGACTCTGCAGGCCAAATGAATCAGTGTCACATACTCTTTTTTGGTTTTTCTTTTTTAGACGTAATTTTCAAAAAGGAGAAAGTATTATGCTAGCAGGTGGCATGGAGCTTAAGGTGATCAATCCCACATGGCCGGCTGTGCAGTTTGAGTCCTGGACCCGGTGGCTTGAAAATCATGTTGGGCGAGTGTGTGTGTGTGCCCAAAATCCTGAGAGGACTAGAGAAGGGACTGCGGCCATACCTCTAGGGAGTGATTCTCACTTTCCCTCTCTCTCTCTCTCCCCCTCAACCGTGGTTCAAATCCTGGACCCAGAGGCTTAAAATTCACATCAGGTGCATGTGCATGCATGCTCAAAATCCCAAGGAGAATGGAGAAGGCACTGCTGTGTGGCCATCCCCCCAGGGGGTGATTTCTTGCTTTCTGCCTCAGTCTCTCCAGCAAGTACACATGCTCTATAGCAAAAATCTCTCACTAAAAAATAAATATGGGACCAGCAAACAGTGCAATGGTTATGTCGCTAGACTCCCACAGTTGACCAAGGTTTGAGACATACCTAGACTCAGCACCTTAAAACTCATGCCCGGTGCATGTGTGAGGAGACTGGAGGAGAAGGAATTGTGGCATGGCTGTTCCCCCTTGGGGGTAACTTCTTGCTTTCCATCTCTCTCTCTGTCTCTGCAGCAAGCACATGTGCCCTATAGCAAAAATTTCCCTCCCAAAAAAATAAATAAATAAAAGTAGTAAGAAGTCAATTAAACCACTGATGTAATCTATTAGGAAGCTTCTAATATCAAACTGCTCTGAGATTTGGGGCAGTACCTCTTTCAGTTCCAATACTACCATGGAGGGTGACACCCAGGGGAAATGGATTTTCCTAATCACGTTACAAACACAAAGCAGTTTTCTGAAACTTGGCCAAATGTTAGTATTTTTAGTGATCACTGACTGACAACCAATTTGAATTCCCCCAAAAATGGCAACCCTAGAATAATATGAACTTAATCATAAGTATGAGCATAGGTTGTAAAGGCCAAAGCCTGAAGCAATACTGCTGAACAAAGGAAGTTATGATGAAGGTGGGCGAAGGCCTGGTGTCGGTGGAACATCTAATCATTCTAATGCTGGCAGTAAAATAACTGGTAACATCTCCTGCTAATTGCTATTAAGCTGTCAGAAAAATCAGGACACATTTTTGCATAGAAAAACATAGAAAAATACATTATGACTTTTCCAACAACCCAATATATTTTTATATGTAACACAGACTTGAAAATAAGTTAATATTTGGAAAAGGAGAAAGATAAAGTTTATTCACGGCAATAACTTAAGCACTGGAGAATAATAATTTCACTCACAGAATCCCTATCAAATAAAATCAAAGTCCTACAGAAGCTGAAGGTTATCAACATAACTTGTTTCCTGAATCTTTTTTTTTTTTTTTTTTGGGGG